ATGATCAAGTAGCTTTTATCCCAGAGATGCAAGGATGCCCACTCTCTCTGTATCTATTGTATATAGTACTCAAAGTTCTAGCTAGAACAATAAGGCAACAAAAGGGGATCAAGAGGATACAAATTAGAAAGGAAGAAGTCAAATTTTTGCTATTTGCAGGTGATATGTTTACTCAATGGAGTATTAGTGGTTAAAAACAATGACCTCATGAAATGTGCAGGCAAATGGATGGAACTAGAAACTAGTGAGGTTAACCTAGAAAGACAAACATGGTATGTACTCATTCTTAAGTGGATATTAGATGTAAAGGTAACAAGGACCCTAAGGAGGATTCATGGATCTCCTCCCAGGAAGAGGAAATTGATGAGATCTCCTGGGTAAACTGGGTGTAATAGGGGAAGAGGAAGAGGTAAGGGTAGAGGGGAGGGGTGGGGGAATGGGAACATGAGGGATCAGGATGGTCAAGTTGGAGGCAGGACAGAGGGGGAGAATAATCAAAGAGATATCTTGACAGAGGGAGCCATTATGGAGTCAGGGAGAAACTTGGTGCCAGGGAAACTCCCAGGAACCCACAAGGATGACCAGCTAAGACTCCTGGCAATAGTGGAGAGGGTGCCTGAACTGGCTTTCCCCAGTAATCAAACTGATGACTACTCTAATTGCCAACTTAGAGCCTTTATCCAGTAACGAAAGGAAACAGATGTAGACATCCAAAACCAAGCACTGGGCAGAGCTCCGGGGTCCAGTTGAAGAGCAGGAGCATCAAGATCATGACAGGAAAACCCAGAGATAGCTGACTTGAGCTTCTGGGAACTCAGACTCTGGACAGACAGCTAAGGGACTGACCTAGGCCCTCTGTATCTGGGTGACGGTTGTACAGCTTGGTCTTTTGTGGGGCCTTTGGCAGTGGGACCAGGACTTGTCCCTGATGCATGAGCTGGGTCTTTGGAACCTATCCCCTATGGCTTGATACAGGGAGAGGAGCTTGGTCCTGCCTTAACTTGATATGGCACGCTTTGTTGACTCCCGTGGGAGGCCTTACCCCTTCTGAATGGAAATGGAGGAGTGGATGGGGGTGAGTAGAAGGGAGGTGTGGGGAGGGAACAGACAGAAAGGAGGGAGGGGAAACTGTGGTTGGTATATAAAATAAATTTTTTTAAAAAAATCACTGAGGACTCTGGGATGCTTTACAAGGATTATGTGTATTGGTACACCATTTGATTAAAGTAAAAACAGTTTAGAAGATTAAATATATCTAATGCAACAGAAGAAAGAGGCTTGTCTCCACAAATATATATATGGAATAAAACAACAATGACAAAACAACAACAACAAACAATGACAAAAAGTCCCTTATCACATTTACGAGTACTAACAATAATATTTATGTCTAGACTGCATATATTCTTCTCAGGCTAAGAATGTTATTTTTCTTAATTGAATCAAAATCAAAATGCTGTTCATTGCATTTAGCTTGAAGTCTCTTAATTTTGATACATTTTATAAAACATATTTCATAAAAATACATACCATACATATAACTCAGCAGCACCCTTATCACACCAGTTTCTTTTTATGCTCTGTATTTTCTGCAGACTGGATTTTCTGTAAATCCAGGCTCTCCTGCCCCATCGTTCACGGGGAATTGCTGGTGGCAGGGTTCCTGTGACATCGCAGGTACTAACAGATGGTCATATCTGGAGGAAGGTTTCTGAGAATTTGAAAAAAGAAACTTGCAAACCATATAGCCTACAAATATCAGGAGAGAAGAAAAAGTAGGTCATAAATATAGAATAATCTTTTTAAAAATTACTACAAATTGTGCTCAGTCTATTATAAAGTTTATCAACACTTGTTCACTTACGGGCTGTACATGGTTTTTCATAATTAAGAAAAATGTGAACAATTGTAAAGATGCAATATTAAATCACAGCCACATAAAACTGACAATAGTACAGTCTGTGGTGCCAATGTTATAGACATTTCACATTGCTGGCAGCAAGCTAAAGTGCTGGGAGCATCCATTAAAATCACTGTGTGACACTAATCATCCTCATAGGGACAGTTCCTTCTCAGTTGCAAATGCCGGAAAAATAATCTCTCATGATCCTCTTGAATGTTCTACTGGCTTTAATACACACAAAAAATATGTCACTGGATTGTTGTTACCAGTCCAGCTTGAGGTTAACAGCAGGCTATTTGAGTTGCATTCTGGGGAAACAAAAGGGTCAGTACCCCTAACTTCGGTATTGTTGGAGTCAATTAATTATATTTCCTCAATTGCTCACACATAATATACCAAAGTAGTTTTGTAATTGCTAATTTGTGCCACTGTGTGAGACAACTTTGCAATTAGAGCTCATGATCTCTAGCAATGCTTTGGTCTTCAAAGGACTGTGGCCCCATAAGTTCAAACAGCCTAGTGATGTGGTAGCCATCATATGCTGCATACTCTCTGGTATTTGTACAATGATGAAATTGCCTAATGACAAGTATTTCTAATGGCATCCTATTGTTAAGCGATGTATTGCTGTGCTTACAGAAATAACTCCGAAATGAGTTGCAGTGGTAGGTGGATTGGGGAGAGTGATGTAGCAAGGGATTGAGAGAGACACCCATGTCAACCTCTGACTTCCATATGCACATGCACCAGAACATGTGTACACACATACGTATGAATATGCATTGATGGGGATAGAAATGGGTTAGTAATTAAGATAGAGCTAGCCAATAAGTAGCCCTAGCCAATGGCCAACGGTTTCATAACTAATATAGCATCTGTGTTTTCATTTAGGATTGATGCAGCTCTGGGACCAAGTTGGTGGGAAAGAGTGCTGTAACAATTCATAATATGCATATGCCACATATACAGACAAAAGGAATTTCTAAAGTCTGCAACAGTAAGTGCCCTTGAGGCCGAAGCAACTGGAACCTCAAACTGTTGCAGATAGGGCAAACCAGAGCACTTGCCTACACTCGGATCCAGATGATTCATCTTCAGAAATGTAACCAGCTCATGGCTGAATACGTTCCAGCAGAATAAGCAAAGACACCAGTGCTACCTCACAGTGTGGGTGAGTGACACAGCAGACCTTCATGCATGACAGGTGAATGGCTAGCATACTGGCTGGGAAGGGGCTCAGAGAGCCCCGCTGGCATGCTGGGCATGGTTTTGGCTGATGAAGGTAGTGTTTATACATGTAGAGAGTCTACATGATACAAACGCTCATCAACCAATATATAAGATTTATGCTCACCTTTTATGATTTGGATATGAAGTGTCACCTCAAAAGGCTCATGTGTTGAAGGCTCAGCCCCCAGCTGGTGGCACTACTGAGAGGTGATTGGGTTATGAGAATGGTAACTTCATCAATGAGTTAATCCATTGATGAGTTCATAGCTGAAGGAAGCAGAACCTAGTTGGGAGGAGTAGGCCTCAGGGCATGCCTTTCAAAGGATGTCTGGCCCCCAGCCCCATCTCCCTCTCTTTCCTCCTCTGATACCGGGGCAGCAGCCTCCCCTCTCACTGTCACCATCTCTTCACAGGCTCACAGCAATGGGGCGAGCTGAGCAGGACCATAACCTCTGAATCCATGCGCCAAAGTAAACCTTTGCTCCCTTTAAATACCTTCCTCAGGTGTTTTGTCACAATAACAAATGGCACATCAGTATGCCCCGTATGAATGATGTTCCTCTGAAAATTAACACAAAAGGAGGAGGAATGTGAAAATTCATAAAAATGTAAGTGCTATGAAGACATTTAAGGTGGTATGATGAAAGGATGTGCTGCCTGGCCAAGCTGAGGCCTGAGACCTGCTAAGTGTAGGCACTACTTTCTGGGCAAGGAGAGCGAGTGCACAGGCCCTGGGGCAGACCCAGTCTAGTGTGCTGGAGGAGTGCAGTCAGGGCCAGCAGCTGGGACACAGAGAGGGAGCAGGCATGTGGAGCGAAGCCTGGCTAGGAGAAGCCTTCATTTTGTTTGGAAAACTATGAAGTAGAAGAAGCAGCAGGGCCTCTGGGACTTGGAAATGGGGATGAGGGGAAGACTTCGGGGACTTCCATGGTGAGCATATCAGAGGGGCCGGTGGGCTGGGTGCCCATCTGTAGGCATGGGCAGAGGCCGTGGAAGCCAGTGTGCTTGGTCAGGAATGGAGGCTCAGTGCGGTCTGACAGAGCTCTTGGGAAGGCAGTGAGCTGGACGAGGTTCAAAGGTGAAACCAAGTCTCAGGATTAGAGGGTGACTGCAAGAACAGAGGCGCAAAAGAGAACCTGCAGTCAGGCTTCTCTGGAAGAGTCTAGGGCAGCCAGCGGGGGGTGGGGGGGTGGGGTGGGGGGGGCTTTGGTGGAAAGTGCGTTAAAGGTGGCTTGTGAGCGGTGCTACAGCATTGAGCTTCAACAAGTCGTCCAGACCCAGCTTAGAACGCAAGTGCCAGGCCACTGAGCTAGGTCATGCATGCACATTGTTGGGCCACTCAAGAGCCCTGGGCACAGTGGCCCCAAGGCATTCGTCATGCTCAAGGTCCCTGGGTGAGGCTTCTGTCTTGGGAAACCTGCAAAGTTCTCACTTCCAGTGGCCCAAGAATACATGTGGATACTGTATTGTGTGTGTGTGTGGGGGGGTGGGTGTGGAGAGAGAGAGAGAGAGAGAGAGAGAGAGAGAGAGCAAGAGGAGAACGAAATAGAAGGAGGCAGAGACAAAGAGAGGAAAGGAAGAGAGAAATAGAGAGGTAGAGAGGAATAAAACTTTCCCCATTCCTCTCCAGGGTGGGGCTGTTTGGTACTTCAGGACAGCAGGTCTGCCCCCCCTCTCTCTGTGTGTGTGTGTGTGTGTGTGTGTGTGTGTGTGTGCGCGCGCGCGCGTGCGTGCATGTGTGTGGGGCGGGCACGGTGTCCCAGGAGGACAGAGTTTGCATTGATGAAAACCCTCCCCAGCTCTTTGAAGCCTCTTTCCCGCTGCCTGAGCCCAGCCGCTTAGTTCTCTCTGCTCACTCACTGCCAGGATGGCATCTTGTCTGGCTCTGCACATGGCGCTGCTGCTCCTCTCTGGGGTCCTAGCTCCTACAGTGCTCACAGGTAAGGGGTACAGGCCTTTGCCTCTGCTGCCACCAATTTTTCAGAGCCAACAATTACCAATGAGACCAGATCATCCAGTGTCTACAGGGCACAAGCCCCTCGCAAGAGGCGGGAGGTGATTTTGGGAGGCAGAGAGGGGCTCCCACAATGCTGGCTGGTAAAAGCTGGATAAGATGATGTGTCAGGAAATTATCAGCAGCAGGGGCGGGGGACCATCCGTGTAGGAGGGTGACCAGGGAATCAGAGCCCAGGACATTTGGTTGTCTGGAGTTCAGGGGGTATTTTGTCCCTAGAACATCTGGGGACTTCTGGATCTGGGAAGCAGGAGGACAAAGGGCTAAGAGGCCAGAGCCCAGTTGCTGGGCAGAAAGTCCAGTGATTCAGAATCCCTGTAAATTCTGCAAGCCCTTCCCTGTTGGCTTATGACCTAGGTGCTGTCCCCATAGAGGTAAATAGTTCTAAGTCTTTGCAGAATGCTGAGAACCCTGCACTGACACCTAGACGGCTGAGCTGGCTGTGTCAGGGTCTGATGAAAGGGGCTGCACCTAGGGCTTTTCCAGGTCAGCTTCAGAGCGGGGACATAGGCACAGGTAGGCTTTGCGCTAAGTGAGGATAAACCTTCTACAGATGTTCAGTAGTTGGCTGAAGGGCAGCCTGCCTCTGGGTTCCCCGATGGCCTTAAAACACAGCAGCCTGAGTTTTAGGGGTGTCTGTGGATCTCCGAAGGAGAGAAGTCACCTCTGCTGTGAAAGCAGGGCCTGGGAACTCCAGCCTCACTCTAGGATAAACAGGCGATGGTGGTCATTGGCCTTTCTGTTCCCCCAGTCACCCTAGGAAGCAACGTAAGGCTGGGCTCATACCTCTCCTGGCCCTTTCTTCATCTGCAGCGGGTGACACTCCCTACCCTGTCTCCCTCACCAGCCCTGACAGGACAGGCTCTCAGGGTGGCCAAGTTCTTAGTCAACACTCAGTCTGTCCTCAGTTTGAGCAGAGTTCCCAGCCCCTCAGCTAAGCCCAAGGGGGATTTTGGGAGAACCATCTCTTCCCACCGGCTGGGACACAGTTTTAGGGGTGTAGCGAGAGGTACCTCTGATGTCAGGAGATGTGACTTACAATGCTGGGAGGCATTTTCCACCACCTGGGGCCCGGGGCTGGCATCCATGCAGTGTCCTGCCTCAGTGAAGGCCAGGTTCCTCCCGCTGCCTCTTCCAGCTCAAGCTTCTAGCCAGAGCCCTGGTCAGGCTGTGTACACACACCTTTGGTGGACTTTCTGCTCCCACAGAAGCTTTGGGAATAGCCAGGACCTCAGCTGACCTCGCCTCCCTTTTCCTTCCATGGGATCTCCCTGCCCAAGAACCGGCAGGCTCACAGCAGGCATGAGCTCGCCAATTGAGTCTTGGGCTTCTGACTGTCCTGGGAGCAGGGAGATAGGAGGTTCTCAGAACCAGCCCTAGACCCACAGGCCCGAGCAGTTGTGTACAAGGTCCACGGCCCCTGTTTCTATCTCCTGGGCTGTAGTCCTGTAGCAGGAAAGAAGAGATGGAGTAACCCTGGGGTGGAGGCACAGGCCAGCCTGCCACCCTCCCTGCCTCAGCTGGTGGCCATAGCCACTGAGGTAGAGGAGCAGGCCAGGTTGGGTGGGCAGGAGGCCAGGGTCGGGATGAAAAGGCTCTCTTCATGGCTGCACAAAGGCCGACTGTGAGCATGGGCGCCTGGCCTCAGGGTCTGTGGTCAGACTAACCGTTGAACAAACTTATTTACCAAAAGGCAGAGCGGCTTGGGGTGGTGGGGCCAGGGGACAGCCTGAAGTGTTCAAGCTTGTGGCACTGACACCATGCTCCCTCTGCCAGAACAGAAAGTCCTGTGACACTGCTCACGCTTATATGGTGGCCCTTCTTGTGGCCAAGGTGGACTGGGCCTTCTCAGGAGTCCCCAGCCATGTCCCCTTCCTTATCATCACTTGCTGTCACTCAGCCTACTCCCTCCACATCCTGCTCCTGGGGCCCTGGCCTGGCCCTCCTTCTCATCCTCACCCCTCTCCTGCTGGCACACTGACCCGTAGTTCCTAGCTTCCTTGGAGGAGGCTTGAGTCCATAGGAAAACGAGGTAAGGCCTGGGCTGGGGCCTCAGAAGCACCTCCGTCTTTGGAGGGTTGGGGCAGGCTCAGTCCCTGGCCAGGGAACAGGCACACTTAGGCAGGCTCGGAATCCTTAGGCAGCTTTCCTGGCATTGGAGGTGAGCTTTGGCCAGGGGAGAAGGGATAGGAAGAGACTGTCTGGGGTGTGTCCTGGAGAGCTCAGGGCAGACTGGCAGTCTACAAAGCCCAGACCTCAGGGCTTGCTGTATGGCAGGCATGTTCAGGACTTTTCTCTGTCCAGTCCTGGGAGCCTGAGGTTAGACTGCTTGAGGCTTTCATGAGGCTCTCAGGCTGTAAACACAGCCTTCTCTGATCAGGTCATTTTGCCTCTTCACAGAGGGCTCTTCATGGGTAGTGGGAGGCTGGCCCAGGCCCCAGCCCTGAACTCTATGAGAGGGAAGCCTGCTGACTTGGGAGACAGCAGTCTTTGGAGGCCTCTTACCAGTCTTTTCTGAAAAGGGGTCCTAGTTTTGGGATGCTCCAGGACACAGGACAGTAGTCCCTGCCTACAAGCTGAGTCTACAAGTTGGGTCCAGGCTTATGAGAGGTTTCACAGTGGGACCTAGGGACCAGGGGTCTGCCAAAATTTCAGAGTGAAGATTCCAATTTTACAAAGAAATTTTACAAACAAAAATGTTGTAAAATTATCTCTAGAACCCCAACATGGCTTTTACTTAGTTACCAGTTCCCAACATTTGCCAAACTACTCTTTTACCCAGTAATAAGTCACCAACATTAGCCACACTGCTCCTTGACCCCAAATGCAGAAGCAGTCCGAAGTTGCGGACATCATTTATCCTGAGCTGTTCAGTTAAGAACAAAGACACCCTCTTTCCCAACCAGAGTGTGGTATCAAACTGAAACAGGTAACCAGCATTACCCAGAGTCTCTGACGGGACACCTGACCCCTCCCCTGTCCTGGTCACAGATGCTTCTCCTTCCCAGCCCTTGGCAGGGTTGAATGATTTGGTTATTTTGAGACTGACTGGAGTCCCTTTGGCTGTGTTTTGTTTGTCCTAGGTGGGCACCATGGGCAGAAACACACAAGTCCCTTGGCTCCACCCTGAGCAGTCCTTGTGCTGAGCCTACCCACACATACAGAGACAGGGTACACCTAGAGAAGGAGCCCCTGGCTCAGAGGAGTCCCAGGGACCTGCAGCTTAACCTGAGCCTCATGCCACAAGCAGCTGGAATTAAGGAAATAGTGGGGACCATACACTGGGCCTGTGTGAGGGATCTGTTTGGGGACAGAGTGTTCCTAGGTCACTTGCTTTCCCCATTGAGATCAGGTTAGGGGCAAGGACCAGCTGAGATGCCAGGGGCCAGGCTGAGGGGAAATCTTAGAGCCTGAGACTGTCCCGGTCTCGAACTTCTGTCTTGGGGAGGAGGTTGGTCCAAAGCTGTGTGGTGCTCCGGGCCCTACGGGCTTCCTTACAGCCATGTGTGAGGGGAGGCAGGGCTCCAGCAGGCAGAAACATCACACCACTTTCATCAACCCTGCACTTTCTATCTCCTTCCTTCCCCCTGGGGTCCCTTGAGTACCCCCAAACGGTGCTGCCTCCCATCCCCAGAGGCCAAGGATTCTTGGTACAAAGGCAACCATGTGCAGACTGAGACTGATGGAGTGTGGGAACCTTCCTTTGCTGGCCACCTTCCCTCCATCGCTCCTTTTTCCTGTAGGCAGCCATGTACTTGTCTAGGGTTGGGGGAGGGGCTGTTAGATGCCCAAGGTTGGTCTCCTGATCTTAGGCTGTGGCTTGGGTGGGCTTCTCCTGGCCTTTACTGGATGAAGTAGAGGCACTTTCAAAGGTTCTAGATTCTCAGCTTTTGCCCCAGGTGAAGACAGAGCTGTGTCTGCCCTGAGGGACAGAGGAATCCCCATTTTCCAACTGCCCCTGCCTCTCTGCCCGTTTTGATCTGTCCTCCTGTGACCTCAGTGGGTGTTCTGGGTCACAAGTGGTTGGTCTTCCAAACATAGGAGTGAATTTCCCAGCCAGGTGTCTCACCCTGTGGAATCTGGGAGCTGATGTAGAACTAAGCATCAATTCTACACAGGGCATCCCTCAGCTGACCTGGTGGGGAGGGTCTGCATCCCTGCCAGCAGCCCACCTGAACCCCACTGCCTGTCCTTGGCTTTGCAGCAGAGAGTCCCCAGGAGCCCAACCCCACCCTGTGGAACGAGCCCATTGAATTGCCATCGGGTGAAGGTCCCTTGGAGAGTACCAGCCACAGTCAGGAATTTGCAGCCTCGGGCCCTCCATTCCCCACCTCTGCCCTGGGACCTGAGGACAACACTCCTCCTACAGGGGTGGACCAGGACGCAGGTAGTGCCTGGATGGGCGGGGAGAGGGGAGGGTGAAGGATGAGAGAGAAGGGAGGAAGAACAGCATGAAGGGCCAAGCTTGAGCTGGACCTTGGGGGTCACAAAGTCCTCTGTCCTCCACAGGATCGCTTGGGCCCGGAGCCATTGCTGCCATCGTGATCGCCGCCCTGCTGGCCACCTGCGTGGTGCTGGCACTTGTGGTGGTGGCGCTGAGAAAGTTTTCTGCTTCTTGAAGCCAATAAAGGAGTCTCGCTGACCCGCCTGTGGCGACTCTGCAACCTGTGCTCCCTTTTGTCCCCTGTGTCCCCGTGTGTGTAGCTGCATATATATGAACAGGGACCGGAGTGTGTTGCTGGGCCGGCCGGGCCGCGTGCCTGAAGCCGTGGGTGGAAAGCTCCAGGCGGGCAATGTGTGCATGTATGTATTGTGCTGGGAATGCAAGCAGGGCGCAAGGAGCTCAGGTGTCTACTCTCTAAGGACCACTCGCTGCTGCGGGGTCCCTAACTCGCCCCTTTCCCACCCCTGCAGTGGGACTCAGGGCCATGAGCTCCTGGCCCCTTGTGCTCCCTCCTGGAGGGAGGGACTGTGGGCGGGGGAAACAGAGCTGGAGAGCTTGACCCAGGTTCCTCTTATTCCTGGAGACCGATTGGGAAATGGTGATGGACTGACAGTGGATGGGGCTTTCGACCTTGACTCGTGCTGGAGGGACCAGGTCCTAGTTCAGAATCCCAGTCACCCCTTCTCCCATGGCTCAGAATGTTCCTATCTCCAAGCACACATACTCCTGGGCCTGGGTTTTGTGTTTATGTTCTCTCTGGGCCTGTTCGTCCTTTTCCAGCTGACCTAGAACCTGGGGAGCTCTCTGGGATAGAATTGGGGGGAGGGTGGTAATGAGACGGCCAGGCCAGGCCAGGCCAGGCCAGGAGCTGCAGCCCTCTGTTGCAGTGTGACACAGGGCCATCTCCATCCAGCAATGCTCAGGGGTTGGAGATCTCAAGATCACCAAGAGCTTTGCTGTGATCTGTGGGAAGGCACACAAAGTCCAGTGGCTCAAACCAAGGCCTGTTCATGGTCAGGCACAGTGACACATGCCAGCAATGCCTACTTAGGAGGCTGAGGTGGGACCTCAAGTTTAAAGCCAATCTGGGCTATACTGGAAGACAGTCTCAAGAAACCAACCAATCAAAAGGCCTGTTCTGACATAGACCATCTTCTGGCACATGCATAGTGCCCTGGACACTTCCCTAGGACAGCAGTGGGGTGGACACTCTGGGCTAGAAACAGGGGTAAGTACGGGTGGCTGGGCAGGCCTGGGTAGTGGAACCAGCTGTTTCTGGAGGCACAATGGGACATTCAGACCAGTGTCTGGAGCAGGTTGGGAGTCTGGGTCCCAGGCCTGGGGTCAGATCCTCTAAAGGGCCACTGCTTGCTGATACCCCAGGGTCCCTGTGGCCTTGTAAATATGTACTTATACGGCAGCAGGAGGGGTCCTTTCTTGAGTCTGTCCACAAGCAGAGGCCCAAATCATTCCCATTCTGAGACCTGAGGTTAGTGTCTGTGGCCCCCTTCTGGGGAAGAGGTTTCTCCTACAGGCCTGGAAGGCTGTCCCTCCTTCCCAACCCAGAACATATGTCTCAATGCTGTGTGCACCAGGGTGATAGAGAATAGGCCTATTTTATACAGGATGCTTCTTTTAATGCAGCCAAAAATGATATTTGCTTTTCTTAAAACCATGACCATAAAGGATGCAGTGATCAATTCATTCTGCGAAACACCTGGGCTCCTTCAGGGGCCAGGAGACACAAGTGACATCTAGCCCTTCAAGGAGCCAGAGGCATGAACCCTCAGCCAAGTTCTGGGAGACCTGCTGAGGGCAGGGCTTGGCTGTGCAAGAGAGGCTGGCAGAGGCACAGGGAGCGGCAGGCAGCATCAGCCCTGCTCATCGAGCTCCCTCGGGCAGGGGCGGCCCATTGGTGTGCCTGGTAGACTCTTAACAGCTTCCAAAGTAGGGAAGGGCACGTGCAGTTCAGGGGACCTGTCAGTAGTCACCTTCTGCCTGCCTCAGGCCAGGAACCCCTATGTGGGGCTCTTCCAGTCACTGGAAGGTCTTTGGAGCATGCCTACCCTCTTTGAGCTCTGAGAGGCTGGAGAGGAGATGGTGTAATACTGCTTAAAATACTTAGCCTTTCACCAGTGTATAAGCAAGTGAATGACCAGGACACTAGTGCCCCCACTGTGTAGGCAGGGACAGTGCAGGCCCAAGCCACTCCTGCTGCCGGGAAGGCACTGGCCTTTCCTCCCTAAGATCCTCTGTGTCTGTCAGGGTTCTCTGCTGGGCCTGCTCTCCACCTCTGCCCACACCCCTCCTTCAGGCTGGTGCCTGAGAGGGAGTTCATTGTCTATTCCGGCTGCCCAACTTCCGGCGGTCCTTATTCTGGCTGCGCTGAGGGTCCTCCATCTTATGGACTCGGAAACATTCCTTGAGGTTCTGGGAGCGGATCTTGGGGTTCAGGATCTCCTCTGTCATGGAACTGGGAAACCAGCCTCTCTCCTGGTCATGTAGGCGCTCACCGAAGATCCACCCTGCAAAAGGAGGGTTAGGGTCAGGGTGAGACAGGGCTGGGACTTCCTTAGCTAGGGCTCCCCTCTGTATGGGAAGCAAGGCTTGAGCAGCACTCAGGAGTTCCGCATTTCCTGAAGGGCAGTGGCTTCAACCCAACTAAGCTTGGATTGCTCCTACAGTGTGCTAGGAAGCACATGGAGTGCCAAGAACCAGACTTAAGGCTTTCCCATGAGTGGCAGCCTATTTCTGAATGTTCTGAGTCTGTCCCATACCAGCTCAAGAGGCTTGAAGGGCCACCCCTAAAAGAGGCATCCAGGGGGCCCTTGTAGGAGACAGCTGACCACGTAATTACCAAACCTGGACAGTGAGCTCACCCTCTCATTGGGCATATTCTCACCGAATCTCAACCAGAGGGCTAAGTGGTTGCTGGGGTGGGTAGCATTATCAACTGGGGGCACCCTGAGTCCCCAAATGCCCTGACCTTTTTCTCTGCTGTCTCACCTCTCCTAGAAGTCTTTGCCACACTTGTTGTCCCTACCCAGGTCAGAGGTGTGCCTTCTGCAGGCCAGCTTGGGAGGGTGTGAGGCAGTGGCTCGTGCTGTGGATAGGGCAGGGGGGTCCCTGGGACCTCCAGAGGGATCCTGTGGTGAACACTTGGTTTCCCTTCACGATGTGGAACAAAGGAGGGACAGGAAGGGGCCTTTGTTTCCCTCGGGTAATTTGATTCCTCAGGTTCTCCTACTGTGCCCAGGCCACTCACAAAATTTCAGGGATCCCTCTCTTCCGCATGTCTCCTGAAAGGTGGAATGACAGGTGTGTGCCATCATACCCAGCTGCTCCTAGGATCTTGATCAGGAACAGTTAATATACAAAAGTGGGGATTGACACATTGGCTACACGGGGGTTAAATTGGGCAAGGGCTACACAAAAAAACCCATTTGGAGCTAATTCTGCCTGCCACCCGCAGGTTGGGCAGGAACAAGGCTTCTTGGCCTGGTGGTCACAGTCATACTCAGAAGCTTTGGCCAATCAGGTTGAGGTCAGGGTGCAGCACCCTCCTAGGGGAGGGCTGAGGCACAGGCAAGGCTGGTGAGGGGACAGAGCGCCACCTGCTAGGCCTCCAAGAGCCTCACAGCTCACAGGATACAATGAAGACTCGGAAATCTGAGAGAAAACCAAGGGCTGCTGGGCCCAGGGATGCCCTGGATAGTGCAGCGCCAGCAAGGATGCTGCGTTCTGCCTGCCCACCTGCTAACTGTGCTATCTAGTCCTACACCCAGGCTATCAGTCTTCCTCCCCTTTGAGGGGCATGGTTAGCCAAGATGTGGAGTCCCCTGGGAGCCTCACCATCCTCTGTCTTCTCCAGGATGTTCAGGATGTCTGCCAGCTCCAGGGTTAGCTCATCGGGCTGCTGGGCCACATATGGGTGTACACACTGGACCTGGGGACAGTCTGCAGGATGGGAGAGTGGTATGGTGTGTCCCCATCAAAGGTTCCACCCTGCCCCATATCCAGACAAGCAGGGACAACAGGCAGTGGAGCCAGGGACAAGGCTGCCAGCAGCAGGTGGCTGAGTCCTGGGACATTACATCAGGGAGAAAGGTCCTCTCTGAGAGGGAGGCACCACTTCCTAGGGAGGCCTCATTAGACTACCAGGAATCTGGGGGAAAGACTCAACAGCTAAGATGCAGAGCTCAGCCTAGAACTTCTTGTCCTCAGGTTGTGACCCAGTGAGCAGCTTGGGGTGAGGACAGGCCAGCAGGCCGGGACAATAACTTCTTCACAAGGTAGCCAGGCTCATGCTCCCTTGAGTCTTGTATGAGTTTTAGACAACTGGAAAATCCAAAAGAACACTGGAGTTTGGGTTCAATATTCTGCCGCCTGGCTCCTAAGACTCGGGGGCCTTCGTTTCTTCCTTAACATGCAATCGGGTGATGCTTAGGCAGCCTGTGTACACACACAGGCACTGACCTCCTGGGTGGTGCCCGGACATACTTCTGTGGGGCAGAAGTGCCATCCTACAGGCAGTAGGAACCCTGAAGTTGAGGCCCAGTGAGCCTTAGCCAAAGCAGACCAAGAGCCCCCTTTTCTAAACCAGGGACTCACCCAGCAGCCGGGATGTGAAGGACACGAACTTGGTCCTCCTGTTGGGGGCCAGCGAAGTCATCCAACGCTTCATCTCACTCCTGCATGGGAACAGGACAGGCAGTGCCCCAACTTCAGAGCCAACAAACTCGGCCCTTTGGCATGCAGTGGGGCCCCCAGGTCAGCTACGTTCTGAGCCTGGCTCCAGGACAGCTCAGTTAGCTGCACAGTGAGCCCCTGCGACTTCTTTCCAGGCTAGCTCCAAAGGTACGTTAAAGTATCTCAGCTGTGGCCAAGCTGGGAATATTGTCACCACTTCCCGTTAATCCTGTGAATGAGACCCTGGGGCCTCAGCGGGGCAGGGGACAACTCCTGGTAGGGTGAGGTTAGCTGAGCTCAGAGGAGGGAGAGGAGGCCACTCGGGCAGGTCAGGAGAAAGCCAGGCTCCATGATTCACCAAGCAATTCCTATGTCTTAAGTATTCCCCGAGTACTTGGAGCTGTGAAGTAACTGCCCTGATTGCTCTGACACAGGAGAGTGAAGGGCTGAAGGCCACACAGGGAGTGAACAGGAAGGGGAGGGGGGATAGCGCCTCACTGGGATATCAGCCGTAAGCATCCCATTTTCTAAGATGGACTTGCTCTTGGCTGCACAGGAGAACCCAGGAACGTGCATCCGTCCCTTGCCATCCACACCCCAACAGGAAGAGGCTGCAGAGGCCCTCTATACAGTGTCATCATGGGAAAGATGGGTGCTGAGTACAAGCCAGCCTCCTACAGATGTGTGCTGAGGTCTGTTTTACCTGGGAAAGATCGACCTATGAGTGACACTGGGTGTGGCTCGTGGCACTGGATACTCACTGGGAGGATGCCTTCAACATGTAGGTGGCCTCCCGGTCATCTGCATTCTCCAGCAGTCGCAGGATGAACACATTAGCCAACGTTTGGCCCTGGTCCTCCAGCTCCTCCACTCGCAGCAGTCCCCTTGGGGCTGAGTCAAATACCTGGTACTTGTCTCTGGGGAACAAGGGAGCCAGGGTGGATTGGTCAGTCCCGGGGGCGGGGGGGGGGGGACTCTGACTGGCTGGAAGGGCCAGCACACGGCCCTAGCTAGCCACTCTTTTACACCCCCGCCCGCCGCTATCCTGCTTCTGAGAGGAGTTCCCATCCTGGGGTATGGCAGGGCAGCGGCCACTCTGTTGAGCACAGTGTTAGACCCTGTGCAGGCCTTCCACATTTGGAGCAGGGGAACAGGTTCAGGGAGGCGCCAACATGGCCCAAAGCTGAGCACACCTTTGAAAACCTGACCCTAACAACGGCTCCACCTGCTGCCCCACCATTCTGCACCACGGCTAAGCCGAGATTGGGTGCTCTCCAGTGCCCGTCAGCGCCAGGCTCACCCAGGGATCTGCCGGCAGATCACCAGCAGGTCGTTGAAGAGGAAGAGGTAAATTTCTCTGAAGAGCTTCTTGGTCCGCAGGGTGCGGGACGTCTTGGGGCCGGACATCTGCTGCAGCTCGCCCTGCTTCAGCAGCCACCGGGAGTGTGAGATGATGGGCACTGACTGGGGGGGAAGGAGGCATCAGGTGGCATCGTCCTTGCACCTTCTTAAGGGTCCTACAAACACCACAGCTGGGGTAAAGCTGTGAGACACGGTGGGCAAGGGCGGCGTGGGGTCATTGTCCTACCTACCACCAGCCAGAGTCCTGGCAGCGGAACAGCAGGAGGTACAACTTTGCTTGTGAATACATGCATCCCTCTGTGTGTGCTGTGCATGTGTACTGTGTTTCTGTTATCTATGTGCTCAGGGCTTCTGTGCTCGTGCCTAATGTCTGGTGTGTGTGTGTGTGTGTGTGTGTGTGTGTGTGTGTGTGTGTGTGATCATCCACCCATTAAGCTCAGCTTGCTTGACATAGCCTAAGAGGTCAAGTTCACAGAAGAAAGGATGTAATGGTGCCCAAGGGTTAAAGAGGTCATGCCTGCAAACAGATGTTCTCAGGAGTGGGAGCTGGGCACTCTGCAGTCACCCCAGCAAGTATAACCCCAAGATGTATCAGAAGAACCCTCACAGCCTCCATCTCAGCTCAGCTCCCAAACTCTGACCTCTGACTTCTGGGACCTTTTATTTTTGCTCATGATAGGCAAGTACTATCCTCCTGAGCTACATGCACAGCCTTCAGGGCCATCAGTAGGTACCATGTGCCAATATGCAAGCTGCCAGGAACCTGGAGAAAGGAAGAAACTTGCAAACCTCTCAGCATCGAGAATCCCTTGACTAGTCCCTGTCCCCCATACATTGACTGCTTAGGATCCCCTATGCGGTAACACTGCCAGATTCTCACAGGCAGGCAGCTATGCACCCCCACCCCAGCTCTCACAAGATAACCGTGGGCAGAGTGATAGTGCATGATGGCTGGCTTCCACTGCCAGGGAGGGTGTTGGGGTGCAGGCTGGACCACCTGTGCTTCTGGGTAGGGTGGGACCGCCATGGCTGGGCGCAGGCTGACCCAGCCTCACCTTGATCTTGAACTCCATCTTCTTCTGAATGCTAATCATCTGTTCCGTGCGGCTCATCTTCCGGACACCCTCGTTGCATGCCTTCACCACCTGGGACAGGGAGGACATGTCAGGCCAGTCTGCCAGGTGTCCCCAGATACACTGTGACCACTGTGTCCAGGAGCTGACACTGACTGTCCAGCCTCATGTCGGCTGGAGTTCTTTCTCCACCACAGTCTGGAACAAAATGGGGCACCCTGTGAGGTCTGGAGGAGAAGTTAGGACCTTGTCCTTGACTAGAAAGCCAATGTTGCAGGCCAAGAAAATGTGAGCTTTCTTCTCAGCTAGACTGGAAAATGAAAGGCTCCTCCAGATTGACCTCTCACCCACAGGGGGTGCATCCACTTCTCTGGATGCAGCCAGGAATCAAGAAGCCAATAATGCTGCATTTCCCTAGACTATGGCTCACGGGGTCTAGAGTAGAGCCCGGCCTGACACAGGTGTTTGGTCAGTGTTTGCGAATAAATGCAGATCTCAAAGAAGCTACAAGAATGTTCCTTGCAGTGTTGCTTTGAATGAGAAAATCTGTTATCACCTTTAATTGCTCATTAAATAGCAATGACGGAAGCACAGTCTACCCGAGGGCTCTGAAATCATTAACATGTACTCAACTGAAGAGCAAAGGCTGTGCTTTAGACACATTTTCTGTTTGTAAAGAGCATGGCGGCAGTGTGTGTGTGTGTGTGTGTGTGTGTGTGTGTGTGTGTGTGGTGTATATATATGTATGTGTATGAGTATGTGTACGCAGGCATCTGTTCAGGAGTGCTGGCCAAAGCATGTCGGCAGGGAGTGTGGATAACCAGACATCTTTGCTATATTTATTTTGCTTATGTTCGCTCTCTGAATTTTCTTGTATCTGATCATCAATAACATTTATGAATGAGGAAAAATAAAACCTTCAAAAGAAAAGTAAGCAAGAGAAACAGTGTCTCTTTCATCAAAAGGAAAAGAGAGACAAGAGAAGGGAAGGGCTTAAAATAGGGAACACACTCACCCCCAAGCCAACCTCTGGGACATCCCTCTGGGGCTGGCTGACCTCTCTCAGGTCAGAGGTCCAGCAGACCCATCCAGGGCACTGCTGCCCATTAGGGGCTAGAAAGAACTCACATGGATCATTGATACAAGCCAAATGCCCAGGCATCACTTGAAGGCTAGAGACAGCTGCCGATGCCTACATACAACCCATCCCAACCACAGTCGTCTCCATGAACCAGGGGTGGGGTGACACTCCTGGGCAGAACCCTGGGTCAGGGTCTACCAATATAAGCTGGATCCTGGAGGGTGGGTTGGAACATCGGGCTGTGACAGGCATGGGCTTACAACAGAGTTCTATGTTGGTAAAGAGTGCCCGGCAAGTACCTCCACACCCACACTGGGCACAAGAAGAGAGTGGTAAAGGGGTAGGGTGGTGTAGAGAAGGCTCTGATGAAGCCACCTTGGGTGTGGATTCTCTTCCAACCCCAGTGACTTCAGGATTGCAAAAGCCAATCTCAGAATAATTGGAATGCTAAGAGGGCACAGTGACAGAGGACATCAGTAGGGATAATGGTCTAGAGGGGGAAATGCTCCCTGGGACACACAGGAGAAACCACTTACCATTTCCAGCTCCTTGTGGGCATCCAAGGCGGTGCCTTCACGCTCAGACCTCTCCTCTACTCTCTTCAGTATATTCTGAAGGCAGGGCAACGCTCCGTCATTCCCATCTCTTCCCATCTCCCCTCCCACTCTCTCCCTCGCAGTGGTAGCATCTCTCAAGCAGTTTTAACAGATGCAACACACACAGCCCTGAACCGGATGGACTGAGGGCATGGGACCCTCAGCCAGCCCAGGGAAGGATGCCTTGGGCCCAGGATGATGTGGGCAGTTCAAGCCTCGTAGGACAGGTCCTGAGGGCCTGTAGATACTCTGCGTCATCACAGAGCCACCATCTGGCCCATCAAGAGCAAAGCACAGAGGCCGTGTGAAGCAGCAAGGACCCAGGTCGCTCAGGTGGGGCTAGGGGCTAGCTTTGTCCCCAAGTGAGGCATAATGTTTACACGGGGCACCAGCATCCTCCCCTCCCTTCCTGGATGGTCACTGGAAACGGAGTCCATGGTCCTGGGGCTCTGTTGGCGTGTCTTTTTTAGTGTAAATGTCGTTTCTCCAGTTCCTCGCTTTCCTTCACTTCAGTTACACTCACATTGCTTCTCGAGCCCTCGGGATAACCCTTTCCTCTGTCGACTCCTGCCCTCCTGCTCTCACTCTGTAGCAGCCACAGTGAGCCCCGACAAATGTCAACCAGGTCAGGTGAGGGTGGAGCCCGACACCCCACACCCAGATCTGCTCACCTATGCCTCTCCGTTCCTTCCCATCATGCTTCCTGAGCTCACTGTTGGCCCTTCTACTATGACTCTCGTTTCCCCAGGACCTTTGAACGTTCAGTTTTCTCTACACAAAACGTTCTTCCTTCCAGATGTTGTTATGGCTGGCTCCTCTAAGCTGAGCCTCGGCTCAGATCTTATCTCTTCCTTGACTCCTCCAACCGGCAGTAACCAGGCACCCTTGACTGGTTAACTCTTCTCTACTCCTCACAGCTGTGCCCACTTCCTGATCTTCCCTTCTGGAATATAGCGGAGGCCTCATTGCTTGCAGCGCCACAGGACCCCAATGGGCCCTTGTTTAATAAATGGGTTCCCTAAACTACCAGCAGGGAGCTGGCGGGAGCGAAGGCCTGGGCAGGGGAGGCCTGCAGAGCCCAGGGCCCTGTTAGGAGTCACACCTGGACCAGCAGCTTGAGTCTCGTGATCCTCTGGAAGGGCAAGATGAGGAAGGAGGAGAAGGGCAGGCCCTTGCATTTGGGGTCCAGCTCCAGCTGTGCGATCAGCTCCCGGAAAGCAGTCTTCTCCTGTCTGAAGATCCAGACACAGGGGACTGTCTCTGAGCTCAGGCCCTGGAGGTGTGAATAGGAGATGCTCCCCCCCCTCCCCACACACAGCCTCCTGGAGGCCAGACAAAGCTCAGGCACATGCTGAGATCTGCCTCCCTCTTCCTCTCCCTCCCCTTCCTCATTTTTTTTTTTAATGGAAAATAAACCGTTCATGTAAACGTCAAATAACAATAGTGGCTCCATATGTCAGGCCATGAAGGCTTGGCAAAACATGATTTGTGTGGGAGGGGTAAGAATCCCATCGTAGCCAGGGTTATGAATCAGACATACAATTAGATGACTTCACCCAGCAGGAAGCCGTGGCAAGGTAAACCCACGTAGTGATGCAGTGATGGCAACCGCAGCGGGCTCCAGGCACCTGCCAGGAGAGCCTGGGCTATTTTTGACAGGTGGGCTTGGCCACGTGGCACAGTGCTGCTGAGGATGACTGCTGGGATTTTACTGCAGGGTGGCAGCAGACATCAGGGCAGCTACACTCTGTTTCTAGTGGGGCCAGGGGTATCTGCACTCACAGGGCAAAGTGACATGGTAACCAGCTGCCTTCAGGATTCTTGGGAACGTCAAGACACTGACATTTATTGTGCTTGCCATTTGATCTGAGCAACAGCACTGCACTTCCAAACAGTTACTGGAAAACATCTAAACGCCTGGAAACCCAAACTTTAAAATGTCCGCTTTAACCGTGTTGCTTGATAGAAAAAAACCATCAAAATCCAGAGGCTCTTTGAACAATGGACATGCAGCACACAGAAACTTTCCTCGCACAGTGTCTACAACCGAGCCTAGAAGCCATGGGGATCTCTCTGTCAAAATAACTGCTCTAGAATCTCTCCTTTGGGGCGAATTTCACAGAACTGTCTTAGCGTCTGTCACAGAAGTGCCACCTTTGACCCAGAACTTCTTAACATAGCAGCTGCTGCCATGCTCCAAGCGGAGCTTGCCAGCCCCCTCAGGCAACTTGGATAGATGTGGCTGTTCTAATGAGGTCCCCAGCCCTGTCTTCCCAACCCTGTCTTTGCTCTCAGGACATTCCAGAAACCCCTGTGCCTGTGACTGTGGGTGCAAACCTGGTCTCGATTCCCCAGTATAGGTGCCCTTACTAGAGGGGTTTTTAAATTTGTAATTTACACGGGTGAATACTCCAAAGGCAGCCCTTCCCTGTGGTGCAAAGCAAGGTCATGAAACGGGAGACTGGTTCCCAGTTCACAGGCACTGCTAGCCTTCCTGTCCACCTTTCTTACTATTTCACACCCACATGTCCTATGTTCTGGACCTTGGATCATTCCTGTGGCTACAGAGTCTTTCCTACAAGGCTTTCCTGGCTATTCTGGACACCGTTATGGTTGGCTTCAGCTGGCTTTTCTGAAGTACAGGTGGATTCAAGGTTTTCTAGTGACACCGAGATGCTCAGGGAACAGTCTAGATTTGGATGTCACCAGCCTGATCAGATTCTGTGACTTAGTGTGCTCCTGGGGAATGCCCAGGCAAGGGTGGCTGAGCCCAGGCAGGGCATACTCACAGGAGCTGCTTGTATGTCCTCTCCTGGTAGGTCTGGTTACTGACATAGGTGATATAGACAGAGAAGTGGTCAGCTGCGTAGCGGTACACGATGTCACACACGTCTGAGATAACGATGTTCTCCTCCATGCGGTGTTCCAGCTCCAGCAAAAACCTGCAAGAGGCAGAGTCTGGGCTGAAGGCACCTGGAAATCATCGTGCCTGGTTAAACACACCAGCACACTCAACTGACAAGGTGCGTGGGACTCCGCATGCTAGTGGCCCATCTGAGCCGGTGGGAACAGCGTGTTTTTAGGTGGATAACACAATCAGGAGTATGCAGGGAGGGAGAAGGCACGAGGCTCATCTCATCTTTATCTCTTTCACATGTACCGATGTAACAGAATAGCAGTTAAAATGTGGCTCGTAATGGTCCCCTGGGTACAGGGAAAGGCAGGGATCAGATGAACCTAGATTGACCCCCATGCCCATCACTAGTTAAGCCAGTGGCCAATACATGGGGTGTCTCTGCTCTGTATTCTGGAATTTTTCAAATTACACTAGAGTTGACAGGTAAAAAGCAAGCTTGGAGATCTCACAGGTTGCTCTGGCCTCACTGAGCCATAGTGAGGGACAGAGACTAGAAAGAAAAGGCAGGTGTCAGTGCAAAGGAGGTGGCTGGGGGCCCCACGGCCAGCAAGAGCATCTGGGTTTCCACATGTGACACGGAGTGACTCTCCCCTGCAGAGGGGACCTGCCTCTGCCACACCCTGCCTGCCTCATTAGAACATGGAAAGTTGGCTGCCCAGGTTGCTGGGATGTTACTAAGTGAGCCCTTCATCCTAATTCTGTCCTCCTCCACAAACCCTCACTTCCTCCTTCACCCAGATCCAGCCTCAGGAAACACACGTCGCACGTCCTTTCCTGGACTGCTGATGCCTCATGGGAGAGGGGGAGGAAGCGGCAGTCTTTGCTACATTGGCATTGGCCCACAGGGGGATTTGGGCTTTGGCCCCTCAGGGTGAACAGTCACTCCCAGATGACCTTGTAATTGTCATGAGTCCCATACAGACTTAACTGTGGCTTTCATGCATAAGATTCAAACCAATACCACTCCAGCCAGGGTGGGAGAGTCCTCCAAATCACATCACCTTAAGGATGCACAGGGCCCACAGGTTGATGGGAAGGGATGTTGGGGCGGGATGTGGAGGAGTGTGTAGGTAACACTGGCCAACCTGATGTGTGGAGGTCAGAGGTCAGTCCTCAGGAGCCAATCTCTCATTAGTCTGGAGCTCACCAATTAGACTAGACTGACCAGTTGATCAGCCAAACCCAGGGATTCTCCTGTCCCCACATGCCTAGTACTGGAATTACAAGTGTAACCCACTGCACCTGACTTTTCATGACTTCTGGGGGTCAAACTCAAGCCCTTACGCTTGCAAGACCAGTACTTTACCCAATGAACCATCTCCCCAATGCCTAAATTTACAACGTTGTCCTATTTCTTTATGTAAAATCCAAAGCATTCAAAACACACTCTAGCATGGAGAAGAGACGGAGGAAAGTGGCCCTCCAGGACTCACCGCTCACTGACAGCCATGACATCCAGGACATTGGAAAACAGGATGTGTGCCTCGGATGGGTGCAGGATCTTCTTCAGGCGCTCATTCTCCATGAAGTGTGACACCAGCAGGTTCAGGCTCTTATAGTAGGAGGCCTCGGAGGTGACCAGCTCAAACATGGCCTGTGCAGATACAGAGGAGAGCATGTGGTTACTGCTAAGACGAGCTGAGAATGCTCTTAGATGCAGAGCTACTGAGGCTGGTGGCAGGTTTGTGGCAGAAGACAACCCATGCCCGTGCAAAGGAGAACGTCTTCCTGGTGGCAAGCTAAGGACCAATAACATAGAAGAAACAGTATGAGAGGCTGGTCTTATGGCAGAGCCAGATGGTGGGAAGATGACTCTCACCCATAGCTATTGGTGTAGAGATGGGAAGCACCAACAGGGAGGGCAGGACCCTGCCCCCCCATTTTACAGGAAACAAACCAAGGTGCCAATCAGGAAGGGTGTGATTCGGGGTGACTTTTACACATTTTTTAAAATATCTGAAAAATCCTAGATACACCTCTATTATTTTTTTTTTTTTTTTTTTTTTTTTTTTTTTTTTTTTTTTAGCATCTGATTGTACAATGTAACCAAGAAAACCATTTTCACTGTGAAAAAGAGAAAAAAAAATACAAAATCTACTTCAGCCTTCCTTCAGGGACACCTACCAACATCATTACCAATTTACCAAAGCGATGAACTCAAAACTATCCAGCAGCAGGCCTGGCTAACTTGCCTTTGGTGGTTATAAACAACTCACCCTGGAACCAGTAGGAACTGTGCCCACCGCCTGTCTAATTACTCTCCACTGTCTTGTGACCCAGGGACAGGGTGGCAGGTTCAGTGGTTGATTCTTTAAAATCTATACTCACACCGTATTCTCCAGGACTAGCAACTGTGCCCTGGAGTGAAAAACGGGTCTTGGCAGCTGTGTTTGGATTGAAGGTGCTGAGATGAGACCATTATGGAGTTAGGGTGGGTCCTACCCCAATGCTAGGTGTTTAGTTCTGTTTCTGTGGCTATGATAAAATATCCCAACAAAACCAACTTCAAGAAAGGTGCAGTCAGCTCACACTTCCAGGTTAGAGCCCACCATTTTGAGGAAGTCAAGGCAGGAACTCGAAGCAGCTAGTCACCCCCACAGTCAAGAGCAGAGAGAGAATGAATCACATCCACTTACTCAGCTCACTCTCTCTCTTTTATACAGTCCGGGACCCAAGCTCAGGCTATGGTGCCATCAACTTTTAGTCTGGATCGTTCTGGGTCAATAGATGATAAAACAATCCCCACAAACATACAAACAAGGCCAACCTGATCTAGACAATTCAGATGACTCCAGATTACATCATCTGAGACTAACCATCATTTTAGACATCTCCATAAAGAGGAGAGAAAGGGAGACACAGGAACATGGAGGATGGAGGGTGTAGCCAGAGATTGGAAGGGGAAGGAAGGCTCCTTCCTTGGAGCTCAGGAGGGAGTGTGGCCCTGCTGACATCTCCACTTCAAGCTTCTTGGGTGCGTGGGGGTTAAATTCTATCATTTCATGCCAGCTAGTAAGTAGTAGCCATCTTTAGAAACAAGTACATCAGACTGAGGTCAGACAGCAGCAATGCTCGGGGATCTGGCAGGGCAAGTTCCAGCTCCAGGAATGATGGGGTGGGGTGGGGAGGGGATTGGTGTTTGTCTCCAGAACACACCTGCCTGAGTGCACCAATGGGTTCCCCGCACTGACTCATTTAATCCTCAGGGTCTTCCAGAAGGGATACGTAGACACTCCTGTTTCACCCTAAGTGGTGAAAACACCCTCAAAGTCATGCGACTCTATGATGTGAGAACCCAGATTCAATTGAAAGGTTTTCCATGTTCTGGGCTCTGTTATGACTCCCGCCAGGCTGGGCCCCAGCAAACTGGGCATTTCTAGTCACTTCTTCCCTGTGAAGCAAGCCAGCCAGTAAGCCTGGTGAGGCCTGTTGAGGCAAGGAATGCATTTGTAAGTTGGAAATGCCCTGCAGCAACAATAAGAAAGCCCACAGAGACATCACAGCCACACCACACCCCAGGTCCCGCTTCTGCACTTGACTCGAGACGGCCAATAAGGTTGTGTCTGGGAATTCATCTTTGTTTTTTGTAGCTCAGACAAGAAGGCTGTACTGGGCCTGAAGGTTTCTGGAAGCTTCTCTGCTAACAAATGCATTAGTAACTCATCTTCCCACTGTTAAGACTAATTTCTCAAAAGAATGCCAAGACAACTGAGCAGCTGAGCTCCAAGCACATGTAACTAACCCAACTGACTGTAGACAACCCTGTCACAGACGGAGGAATCCACCATCCCCACACAGTTACATGAGAGGCATGTCTACCAGATGGCATGGCTCTAAAGAACACTGTCAAAGACACCTGGGACTCGACTTGCAAGTGCCCTGCCTCACCCTGCTGCTGACAGCTTTGGTCCCAATGACTATGAGGACAGCTGGGACTGGCTATGCTGTGGTTGACATCCAGCAGGCGTTGTCCTGAGTCACAGCTGATGCCGGCTGAGCCCATTCACTCACCACTCCCCGCTCTTATCCATTTATAGGTAGGTAGTCATCTGTGAGTTTTCCTCGGCCAGGGTGTTTATCTGTATTTAGCATGTTGTATTAGTTGCCAAATCAATGTAGCTGTCTTTTCCTTCTCTCTCTTGCTTTGAGTCCCAAGCCTTTATAGGACAACAGAGGGGAGATGAGGGATCCAGGGACATGGATCAGTGCTAGAAGCTTTGCCCACCATGTGCAAGGCCCTCGGTTTGATTCCCAGGACAAACAAAACCCAAAACAAAACAAGGGGGACCAAAAGAAACGAGAGGGACCCAGGCCCTGTGTGCTCCTCACTCAGGTATCCTCTCAGCCACCTGTGCCCCACATTCACTGGGTACCAGCGGCATCTGGTACCCAGGATCTAGTGGTGTTTACACCAAGGATGCAGCTACATCCAGGGAGCAGAGGACGGCAGACTGAGCGACATCTCTCAGGCAGCATCAGGTAGTGAGGTATGCCAGAGTGTGTGTTTAATGAATGTATGCAGGCCAGGAGGTGGTGGCCTTTTGATCTCAGCACTTGGGAGGCATAGGCAGGCCAGCCTGGTCTACAGAGGGAGTTCCAGGACCACCAGAGCTACACAGAGAAACCCTGTGTCAGAAAAACCAAACACACACACACACACACACACACACACACACACACACACACACACACACACGAGAGAGACAGAGACAGAGACAGAAAGAGACACAGAGAGAGAGGAAACCTCAGAATGTGGGGCTTGGCTAGAGGAAGTAGGTCACTGGGGATGGTACTCCTTGTCCCAACCTCTTCCTGTTTCTCCCTGCTTTCTGTCTGGTATGAGGTGAGCTGCTTTGCTTCAACACACACACTTCCTGCCATTGTATTCAGCCTAACCTCAGGCCCACAGGAATGGCGCCCAGCTGACTATGGGCAAGACCCTCTGGAACAGAGTCAAAATAATTCCCAGTTCCTCCTTCTTTGTCTTTCTACACAGCACTGACTGCCCTGGAACTTGCTATGTAGACCCGGCTGGCCACACACTTAGAGATGCACCTGCCTCTGCCTCCCAAGTGCTGGGATAAAGGCATGCACCACTATGCTGGATTCTTTATTTCTTCTCAGCTGTCCCATCACATTGAAGAAAAAGTGACTGTGTGTGTGTGTGTGTGTGAGAGAGAGAGAGACGTATGAATGTTCCTGTGAGCGTGTGTATGAGTACTGAGAGAATGAGTGTGTGATTGTGAATGAGCACATGAGTATATATGGATGTGTTTGTGAGTAGTATAGTGTGTGTATGGAGAGAGGAGAGAGGAAAGAAAAAGAGGGAGGGAGGGAAGGAGGATGAGGGAGATGGAGAGAGGAGGGAGGGAGAAAGGGAGGGAGGGAGGGAGAGAGAGAGACTATAAAACTTCTTTTTAGTAGCTGTCGCTACACTTCATGAATTGGCTACACCGTAGCCTCCCTTCTTAGTAACTGCTGGATGCAATCCTCAGAGAATACCCAATTAGACTGACCCAAATTCTATGAATCACAGCTTGGTTTCCCAGTGGTGCTCTTATATCTCAACTCTTCCATTTGTTAGCTGTCCAGAAACATGATAATCACAGGGCGCCCTGCCTGGACTCTCAGGGCCCCCTAAGAGCTGGCTAACACTCGCTGTTTCCTGGAAGGCCAGTCCAGGTGGCTCTGCCATTGCTGATGACTGTGACATGTCACATGCTGTGAGCAGCTGGGCTGCCAACAATACATTAGCCTTGGGTGGTCAGCGATAACTGCTTGATCATACTAAATGAGCTTGGGCTCCTTGGGTGGCTGTGAGAAGTGAGGTGCAGGAATAAAGTGTAGCCCAGGGCCCAGCCTGCCACAGAGCATCTGACAGACAAGCTGGCCATGACTACCCACCCTCTGGGCACTGCCTTACCTAAGGGTAGAAAGACACTCTGGCCAGATGTCAAGGTGGGTCTGTCCCAGGAGGTGCAGTGGGGGCTGAGTGGCAAAGGATGACAAGAAGCCCCATTCCCAGGGTTGCCAACACCATTCAGAGCAACACTGGACACACAGGGTAGGGAGGGGTAGGATGGCGGTGGGGGAATAGAACACGGGAAGGTGGTGACTGCCCCCACGCACCACATACCAGCTTTCCCTGCCAGGCTGTGAGAAGCAGCCATGTCTTGTGTCTTCTGTAGCATGTCCCCTCCACACCCAGCATAAATTTAGACTTTGTGTAACACAGCTTTGTCCTCCGGTGAAAGGATATGCTGAGTCAGCACCACACCCCTCAGGACACCTCTGGAACATGTTCAGAGCCAACTGAGCCAGGACCAGAGGCCACGTGTGGTGGTTAATATCACCAACTTGACAGGATCTAGAATCTCCTAGGGACAAGTCTGTGGCAAGACTTCCAACGTGAGCTGATTGAAATGGGAAGAGCCACCCTTAACGTGGCTAGTGTTACTCCATGGACTGGAATAAAAGGGCAATAAGCAATCTGAAGGCCAGCCTCCACCTTTCTCTGCCGCTTGACTGTGGCCTCACTGTGGCCAGCCACCTTCCTCTCCTGCCATCTTGCCTTCCCTGCCATATGAGCTACAT